TTCATTGCCTTTGTTGCGACTAATAATAATTGATATTGTAATAGTGTGTAATACAATTTTTTTTTTTTTTAAAAAAACGTTGCCCCACACTATGATTTTCTCCTGTGTCGTGGGTGCGTTTACAAACATACAAGTTCACATACACAATCCTGGTCGAATTGCTTTATCCGTCCATAATTTGCCTAAGAAAGCTTAGATCTTATCATCAATACATCAATACATAGTATAAAACAAAGTCGCTTTCGCTGTATGTCCGTATGTATGATTAGATCTTTAAAACTACGCAACGGATTTTGATGCGGTTTTTTTTAATAGAAAGAGTGATTTTTAAGGAAGGTTTGTATGTATAATACATGCATATTGCACCCGTGCGAAGCCGGGGCGGGTCGCTAGTAAAATATATAATTAAAGCGGCTGAAGAATTAAGACGCTCATTCAGTTCAAGAGTGCGTGTGCAGGCATGTATTCATCACAGGGAAGGTCAGTGTGTCCTTTGCCTTACTTACTTACTTATCTACAAGTAATTAATTATTTTTGAGAATTTTATAAATACTTTAATATTTTCGGGTAGCTAATAAACCAAGGAAGTTTTTCTAATAGTTTGTATGCTTAGTGTAATACAATTATGTTTATATAAATCCAGTATTTTAAAACGAATAATATTTCTTAAAGAATTAGTATTGATTAATGTTTATTGATAGATTGACAATAAATTAAAACTAAAATCACTTGAATCAAACCAGTAGTTTTCTATTTATTGGTGTTTTTGTAGTTAGATCGTAGTTTTTTTTATTCACCGAAACCGAAGTCGTGGGTGCATTTTCAAACATACAAGTTCACGTACACCTGACACCCAGACCCGGAACAACAATTTGTAAAGCACACAAAGATCCTGGGCACGGGCCCCGAGTGCCCAGGATCTTTGATTACCCCTCTATGGTAAAGACGGTGTTGGGTGGAAGTCCCACGACAGGTGTACATGGCGATTATTGCTTACCATCAGGTGATTGGTCTACTAGTTTCAGACCTTACCCAAAAAATAGATCAATATACTTTTGAAAATACTTAAAAGATAAATGTCTATTATCATAATAACCGTAATAACACTTACCTTCTTTATAATTCTGTCTGAATACTTGTTGCAGGCTTGCTGCACTTTATCAAACGGCAAGTTGTCGATCACTGGAAAAAAAAACAAATTTTTACTTAAAATCAAATAGTTTCCACTTTTCCACACAAAAAATGTGATACACACAGGGTGACAGGTTGAAAAATACGTCGAGATACAAGTCACCCTGTATAAAAACTACCTGTTGTCCGCGACTTCGTCTGCGTAGAATAAAGACCTTTGGCAGAATTAGGATTTTTAAATTGGGTTTCTTCTTATTGAATATAGCCTATGTTCATCATTAACAGACTTCATTTAAAATCAGTCCAGTATGTAGTTTCAGAGCCTATTCAATTTCAAACAAAAGAAATCAAGTATGTCCTCTTTATAATATTAGTTTAGCATTTATTGATTTGGCGATGTATTTAGTTTATTATATTTAATCTAGTTAAATAAGTAAAGCGCGAGAGTAGCTATTTTTATAACAAATAAGGATTGAATATGACTAATGTTAAAGTACCTTATTTCACATTTACAATGCCCAATTACCCCCTCCCCAATCTCCCCAATCCCCGAATCCCCAATAATCCTCAAATTCCTAATCCCTAAAAGGCCATTAACACATTTGTAACACCTCTGGTGTTTCAGGTGTCCATGGGTGGCGCCGATTGCTTACCATCAGGTGATCTGTCTGCTCGGTTACTGGCTTATTCCATAAAAAAGACATATTTTTATAACATAAATAAGAAAACAAACTCACTGTAAGAATGTGACGGTAATTCAGAAAGTTCCTTTTCACTGAGTTGTGTGCGCGGGATCCCGGCGGCGTCCTGCAGTGTGTGTAGCGTGCCCAGTACAAGTTGGAAGTCACCGAAATGTGGGTGTGTGCGACGGTAGCACCGGCTCAACTTGTAACATGACTCTAGCATGTCTGCATGCCTTTCTCCTACGCCTTGGACTCTTTCAAACACTTTCTGTTAATACAAAACGTAAATGTTAGTGTCTATTTTACATAACATAACATCACGCCTTTTATCCCCAAAGGGGTAGGCAGAGGTGCACATTCTGCCACTGTACAATGTAACACCCAGTTTTCACTATTGGTGTTATGAGTCCCATGTAATAGGGGGTGAGTGTCTGTTTTAATTTTTATGTAAAACTGCAAAATATTAATTATCATATTAGTTATTTCACTCGCCTTGCTCGGCGCCTATTAATCACATGTACATTCACACATTAGTTAGGAATATTCTATAACCTTCCTCGACCTCTTCAAATATACTAATATACTATCCAACACATAATGATATATTCAAATGGGACCAGTTGTTCTAGAGAACAGCATGTTCAAACATATAAAGAAATAATGAAGTGTAAAATGAGCGGACTTATCATTTGTATATAAATATACATATTTGTATTAGTGAATGAATAACAACGCAATACTACCTTAGTCAGCTCTTCCATGAGTTTATGGTTGGTCTTCTTGCTGACATTGTTCAGGCCAGGGTACTTGCTCTGCAGCTCCGTCATAATCTCATTACTCGTCATAGCAATTACCTAGAAATAAAACACTGTATGTATGAGATGATCAGGTAAATGAGCAGACGTATCACCTGATGGTAAACAATCGCACCAGAGATTTGTTAACAAGTAAAGAATAGCTTATTGGGGGGATTAGGAATTTAAGGATTGTTAGGAAGATCGGGGAAGGGGGAGGGGGGTAATTGGGCCCTGGTAACCTCACTCACATGTCGAAATACAAAGTATGTAACACACAATACAGGAAAAAATCCTAGTGTAGGTCTATGTTTTTTTTTTAAATAAAAGTTCATTCAATTCACACCATTGGTTTTGGAGATTACTGCGTTTAAACAAACTGTTCAGACATGTAACATTAGTATAGATTCTGATGTTATTTGTAGATATTACCTTCTCTGGCTCAGTTTCAGTAGCGATCAAAAGTGCCCGCCGTAACTTGTTAGGTATCTTCCTAGGTTTCACTGCCAGTGGAATCTGTAAGATGTTCAATAACTTTAAGCAAAAGATTGAAATCCTCTCAAACACAATACCATGTTTTATTTTTATTTATTTAACTTTATGCAACAAGAGTACATAGGCGGGCTTAATGCCATAAGAGTACATAGGCGGGCTTAATGCCATGGGCATTCTTACTAGCCAACCTTTAGGTGATGCAGTGAGAGTGTGGTCGGTGCAATAAGTTGACAACTTAAGAGTATCTAATATAATTTATAAAATGACAGAATACATATAACGAACTATTGTAAATATAAATATATATTTGTTTTACATCAACAATTGAAAGTATATACCTAAATGCTTAGAAATTTGAATTGAGATAGTAATATTTACATTAATTGCTCCTATGCAAACAAAGATAAAATAGAGTAACATCAAGTTTCATGTTTATTTTCCCTTATGACAAAAACGAGTAGTTAAAGTCGCTAAATAAGAGTAAGGTACTTTACAGAATAAAATTGTAGTTCATGGTCAAATATTAATTTTAAAAACTTACATCAGGAACATGATCAGGGATGTATGCAAACGGCCGAAACTGCTTTGGAAATATGGTAGAATTAATCTTCTCCACAACGCGAACTGGGTCCAATTTCTCCGACAATCTTAGGTAGCATACCTTCCTGCCACCTTTCCCAGTTTCAAAGTTTAATGCTTCAAAATTACCAGCTATCGTTTTAGCCAGTATCTTCACAACATTCATAAGAGACCACTGTAAAAATTATATACCAGTTAAGTACTAAAACCTAACAACAAAAAATTATTTAGAATTCCATCGATTTTTAGTACTGATTTCCGCAGAATTAAATTAAGTATTATTATTTTCTTACCCTTGCTGGTATACCTCTCACTGCTAATATAGACATTGTACTTGGGTACAATATATATTTAATAAGTCTTATTTATTTTATCCGATATTTACGAAAAACTCGCAAATGTAACCTCCTTTGATATATACAAATATACAATACTGTATTGTATGACGTTGACGTCTGCGAAATGACCGAATGGATTGATTAATTAACGAATGAGTGAGTGATCGACTGGCTAATGACCACAGATGAAAAAAATGGTTTTGTATCCAAATGGAATCGAATACAGAAATATGTTTTTTAACCGAATTCAAAAAAGAAGGAGGTTCTCAGTTCTACCTCTATGTATGTATGGTTGTATATGCGATTGTGCGAAATAATCTCGCGATTGACTGAACCCATTGTGATGCGGTTTTCAGAAAAGTGTTTTTTTGTTCTTTTCTTAGAAAATATTGCTTCACTAATGAAGTAACTTCCTAAATTACTAAGCCAGCCTTAGAGCCTAAACTGCGAGTGCCAAGGAATATTTACATTATGTATTAACATTTAGTTTTAGAGAAAAATTGTCCGCAGCTGATACACTTACAGATTTTATATCAGAAGAACTCGGTAAAGGCTATCGCTACATTTAAGGAATTTTAATAGCCACGCTTTCTTTCAACTGACTTTCGTATACTACTCAGAGGCCTGAGTTTGTTTTTCGTTGAGTACCGTCATTATAGACTTTAAAGTATTCGAAACGAGTACGCGTTCGGCGCTGTGATTGGTTGCTTCATTGGTGCCGGCCAATCAGAGCGACGAAGGCATACTCGCTTCGAATACTTTAAACGTAAATCAAACTCGTACTAAGGCCTCAGAAAGAATTTTCGAATTGTTGACGTTGACGAGATGAAGCGCTTGAGAATAAAAGTGATGTAATGATATTATATTTATTAGTAGTATATTTGTATTCGTTTTAAATCAATTACAAGCAAAAATAAAAAAAATATAAATGTTGCAGTAACATAATATTAATATATATCTTAAAGTAAATAATCTTCTGAAAAATAACATGATTCATAAAAGTATATACATAAAATTATTTTAATTATATAATAGGTAACATTTACCTAATAGAAAATATGATTGACTAAATCAATAGTCACAATCACAACTGCATAAAAATGTACTGAAAAATAAAAGTATGCAACAAACTAAAAACTGTAAGAAGTAAAGTAGGTAATAAACATTGATAATGGAAAGTAAAAAACATTATGCATAGTCATAACATCTGTGCACTTTCCTAAGACCCCAAATTACTTGTGTAAAAGCAGGAGGGAACCACAGTTTCTAACAGACATAAAAATGTGTATATCTTCCAAAAACTAATACAATCATTAAAGAATATAATTATATAGGTAACAATACCTTTTAGTAACATGGTAGATTAAATCAATAATAATAATAAAATAGTCACAAAATAAAATATAACATGTCCTATTTGAAACAATCATTAAAAAAATATGTGCAATAGGCATTAGCTGTATACTGACTGACCAAGCAGCTTCACAAGGCACCCTTAGGCGATTGCTGCGAGACGATCGCCTTGCGAGGCAGCCTCAATGTGTATACATGCAAACATACTGAGGTGCTTTTGAAAAAACTTCACTGTCAGTCAGTACATGCCTATTTATAATTATATAAATCTATAAAATAAAGTAATGATTATAAAATTGTATAAAAAATCCTATATAAAATAATTTAGCAAGGGGAGGATGTCTTGCAGTCATATTTATAGCGGTCCAAAGGAGAAATGTCATGAATACTTTTACAGGACTTATCAGCCCATGGTAAAAACTCCTTGGTAGCAACCACACACTCCATGAGCATAAAACAATCATCTTCAGCTCTATGGGCATTGTACACTTCCTTCTTCACTATCCTTTTATAAAGTTCTGCTAATGCATAACTTATTTTCTCATTCCCTTTTTCTCCATTCTTTGGTTGCACCTTAGGCTCATCAGAATTGCTACTTGACTTGTTAGCATCTAAAGGCATTTCGGAGAAAGAGGAACACAGAGAATCAATCTCCTTCCAGTCATCTACACTTACATCTAGATCAGGCCAGTCCTCGCTTATCAATGAATCCTCACTTATCAAAGAATTGTTATCTCTAGCTAAAGAATCCTCTTCTAACATTGAGTCATCTTTTGTAGAGCTACTTTTCGTTGTTACGTCATCTTTTCTGACAGTAGAAGGAACTATGTTATTTTTTAATATCTGTCGAAATCCAGTCAAGGAATCAACACACAGGACATCTTGCGGCAGGGTAGCATTGGCATCTAAGAATTCTGCCAAGAGAATTTTGTAATCAAACCGGTCGCCATTGTGAGCAACCAGGCATATAGGCCTAGGAAGTGAGGATAGATATGAAACGATTGTATGCACATTTTCTTGGAAAATTGGAGCATTCTTCAACAAATCATTAGACAAGCCAGTAATTTTTTCTGATATAGGGCTTATCCTTTTCTGTGGATTGATAAGTAAACTCAGTTTACTCACTGGCGGTATGATAGCAAATGGACCTCGTTTGATGTGCTCTCGCAAAACTGCTACGAAACATAATTCAGTAATCTTGGTTTTATTTCTCTCCTCGTGTGGTAATCCTGTAGTTTCGATGTCGAAAAATACGTAAGTTTCTATTTTAGTCATTGTGTTTCAAATAAGAGTTTAAGCTGCTGCTTTTCGGAAGTTGAACTTGAAAATTAAGTTCTGGAAGTGGAGGAGCCGCCGGCGAATTTTACAGGTTATTACACAATTATTTCATATTTAACATATCTGTTTGTTATAAGGAGTACACTTGGTTAAATTAACAATTAGTAAAGCTGATATTCACATTTCATTATGATTTTACAACTTGAAAAGAAAGTTGTGTTATCAAAATGACAACAAATAGGTTGTTTACATCTCCTGACAGTTGACAGATACTGGATTGGCATTGACAGCAACACTCAAATATTCTTTGAATGCGTTCTTATCATCATTAATTTTTGGGGAATGTTCGTTCGTACACTAACAAAAACGATAATATGAAATGAAATAATATGACATTGAATTGAATGGCTGATTTAGTCACAGGCGAGCAGATATTCCTTATAAAACTCATTCCCTTTTTTTGAAATACGCAGTGACCAGAGTACTAGTAAAGTATCACTCACAGTCGAAAGTTATCAGTACAAAGTCAGTATAATTTGAAAGCAGATCATACTATTTCAATGTTCAAGGAGGTATTAAAATGATTACCAAAAATGCTAAGAAATATGTTTTTATTACAAAAAATCACGTTACGCCTAAATTAAATAGTGGATTTAAACATAAATCACGTTATGCCTAAATTAAATAGTGTATTTAAACATATTAAGTCCCTACAGATAGATTATACTATCGTTACTTTTTTTAAATCTACAAAAAATAATAGTGCACATTATTTTTTCTATGTTTTAAACTTATAATCTTGAGTCTTACCTCGCTTTAGATAGCAGTCTATTGACTAACATCGGGTAAAATTCCAGATTTATACAAGTCCGGTATTATGCTTTGTTACACAGAAAAAAAAATCGAACACCTTTACACTTTACCCAATTTCGAATTTACAAATCTTTACAATCTTAGTTTAATACATATACTATGACGATAAATAGCCATAGTAAATTACCAATCTTCTAAATCATTTTCATCAACATTGTCCATATCAATATCCTCATAATTTTGTTCCTCTTCTTCTTCTCCAATTAAATCCTCTCCTCCTTCTTGCATTTCAACATTTCCAACCTCATTATATCCCTCTTCGTTTCCACCTTCATCGCCTCCCTCTTCAACTCTATCATCCTCACCTCCTTCTCCATCATAATCACCTTCATTTTCACCATAATTCCCATCATTTTCATCATAACCTTCATTCTCATCATAGGTGTCTCCTGTAATACCATCATTATTATCATCTTTCCCAATTTGTTTATCAACACTGTCAATTTTGTTTTCTCTTTCTACTTCCAATGGTCCATTACTGTCTTCTACTAAAGTGACCAAAGTTTCTTGTGTGTTTTCATCTGCACTAGTTTCTATTTTAGTGTCAGTGCTTGGTGTAATACTGTTCTGACTAACTGTACGTTCAGTCGTTTCTTTTTCTTCAACTACATCTTTTATTTCATTGCTAGCTTCTTGTTCGAATGAGTCAGCATTTTCTTCTTTAATTTCATCATCATCTTCCTCCTGGCTATTGTTACCATCTACATGTAGCTCGTCTCCCATATCTTCATCTAAATCATAGTATTCATCCGTGGATTCAGTCACGTCTTGAGACGTGTTTTTACCTGAAGAGTCCGACGACCATTTCATTTTCCCAGTTAGATGGAAAGGCTTAATTCTTATTGTGCACCCATCTGTAAAAGATTTAGATGATTATAACATAACATAACATCACGCCTTTTTTATCCCTGACCCGACCTGCTGTGTGCACCTCTGCCTACCCCTG